GAAAATGAATATAAACGAGCAGTTGATAAGCTAAAACTGAAATAGATTCAAATAGTGAAAAGGGGAACCTTCTAGTTTCTGTCAACATCTTTGCCTTAATTTAGAAATGCAAATTTTCCAGGTGTTGTTGCGTTCAGTGGAGCATTTTCAGTTTTGTGGGCCGAGCAACACCCTCACCAAACCACACCTTGGTGGCCATGAGCTATAAATTTACCAACTGTGTTTTCTTGCTTCCTAAAATAGACTCTCAGCTGATCTGCTTCCTGCCACCTGCTGCAGGGGGCCAGCCCCACACGCGGCCATCTTGACTAACTCAGCACCACCAATTAATTAAAAAAATAAGCCGAATTTATTGTTGCCAAAACTCAGCCTTGAAACAGGGCAGGGGGCCGACAGTACCGAGTTACTACTTCTCGGCCAAACTTGCACCCCTATCAACTCCCCAAAGACAGGGTTCACAGTTGTTAATTGAATGATAAAATTTAAAATACTTTAAAAGTCTCTCACATTCTAAAGTCACAATTTCCCTAATCATCAGGACCCCCTTGAAGCATATCCTGTCTTTTAGTATTTCATAAGCATGCCTCTTATGATGAACATGTATCTTTCTCCTAGCAAGTGTCCCCACAAAGCCCGGTACCTGTAACCTCCCCAGGCTCTTCCTTTCGGGGGGCTGGGGCACACCGCTCTCACCAAGATCGGGACACTACACGTCCATCCTCACCCAGACAATTCTAATCCTAACCAATAAAGAATTTGAAGTACAATCTAGCACAGAGCACACCTCATATCTGAAGGGGATATTTCACTATGCCTTCCACATGTGGCATTCCTGTGGTTCTAGAAACACAATCATCAAGGCACAGTCCTCAACTGACTCTATGATTGTAGCAGCCAAATTATCTCTTGCCATAGACCAAACTGTCCTGCCGCCGAGGGGGTCCTGGGACTCCCCCACAGGTGGCCCTTCCCGCCTGCAGCCGCCTCTTGAATGCCGGCAGTATTCCGATTTTTGAAAGACATCAGAAAATCCGGAGGCTCTGAAATCCCTAGGGCGCCTGGTCCTGGTCCCCTCCTGGTCAGTCTGCCCAGTCCCCCGGCGGACACAGACACGTCCTGAGGACCAGACGGCGATGCCCAGAAACCCCAGAGAGAGGAGCAGAAAATAAAGGCCCTGGAGGGGCCATTCTTACCTGAGGAGACGGTGACATAGATCCCTTGGCCCCAGGCGTCTATATCGTAGTAATCACTGTGGTGGGATCTCCAGCTTCACCTCACAAAAACCACGGCGGCCCGGCACGGCCGCATGGCGCCCGGGGAGCCGACGGTCCGAGTCACTTATCCGGAGGGCCCCGGAACCCTCTGATGGCCCTGCCCCCTCCAGGCTCACCCGGAGACCCCACATCCCAGCCTGGCGCCCAGAAGCCAGACCACTGCCCGCCTAGTCTGCCTGACCATGAATCATGAATCCTTAACTCAAACTCAGAAGTCCAACCAACGTCAAACAGCCAGCTGCCTGCCCCAGAAAGCTGACGGAAGCCCCTGGTGACGCGGTGAAGCTCGAATCAAATGGCCAGACCAGCCGAAGGAGCTGCCTTGGCTGTCCCCGCACTGCGGCGTCCTTGGGGCAGGGAGGTCCATCTCTGGACCCCTTTTATGGGGACCCTCTCCCTGGCTCCCTTTCTGGTCCTCCAAAGTGCCCCGCACTTCTGACATTGAGACCCTGACACCACGGGTCTCCCCAAGTGTGGTGGAAGTATGGAGGGGGTGAGGACTCACCTGAGGAGACGGTGACCAGGAGCCCCTGGCCCCAGGCGTCATACCAGCTGTCACACTGTGACAACTATGCCGGGACCCCGAGCAATAACTGGTGGCCGGCCAAGACTGCCAGGCCACCTCGCATAACACCTACTGTGGCCGGCAGGGCTGGGGACCTTGGGAGCCCAGAGCCCCCGGGTGGCTGAGACCCCCAGGGAAAGCTCTGGCTGCAGAGCCCATCCAGAGAGGGCGTCTGGAACCTCTGCTCCCCGCTGGGGTGAGCCTGGGCCCCCTCAGCCCTCTTTCCGAGCCCCCCAGGCTGCCCCAGGCCCTCTAGACCTGAGACCCAGACAGCCTCGTTTTCTCCCCAAATGCAGCAAAAAAGTCTCAGAGAAAGTGAGGCAGGAGGGCTGGTGAGGACTCACCTGAGGAGACGGTGACCAGGAGCCCCTGGCCCCAGGTATCCAGTGGTCACAATGCCATGGGCCCCGTTGGGAGGTGTACAAAAACCCAAGCCCCTGGCAGCCTCCTGGTCCCACCCGAAGCCCTACCCCCAGGTCCCTGCGGCCCCGGGCGCAGAACCCGCTCGGTTCAGACTGTGTTCCACCAGCAGAGGTCCCATTTCCACGGGACGGGGAGGCAGATGGCCTCAGGAGCAGCCTCCGCCCGGGGACCCCCGAGGGTCCCACACGGGCCAAGGACTCTCTGGAGGTTTTCCCCCAGCCCAGGACAGAGGAGGCAGAGAGCCATCTCACCCGAGGAGACGGTGGCCTGGGTGCCCTGGCCCCAAGCGCTGAAGCGGTTCTGGTCGCCCTGACGCACACAGGCCCTGGCCCTGGGGAAGCTCTGCTCAGGGCTCCTCCCTCCCAGCCGCCCCTGTCCCAGGGCCTCTCGGCCCAGCTCTCAGCTGGCTCACCTCCAGGGGCTCTGTCAGCTCCCAGGCCTGGTCCCGAATGGGACTGCAGGCAGTGGTGGCGTAGCCACAGACCCCAGGGACCTGGCCCACGGCTCAGGCGGAGCAGCCGTGGGGGACCCTCACCCGAGGAGACGGTGACCAGTGTCCCCTGGCCCCAGATGTCAAAGTTAGCATATAGGCACAGTGAGCTGGCCCTGTGCTGGGGGGCCCAGAGACCTGCACCCAGGCTCCCCAGGGAGCACCCAGGAGCTGGAAGGTCTGCTCCCTGCTTGAAGAGACCGCCCAGCCCCTGCCCCTGCAAGCACCCTCCCGCCAGAACCCCGTGGTCTGGGACTGGACATCCTCCAGACCCCTGACTTGCTTTGCTCCCACGAGGTCACGTTTTCCCTTTGGCCTTCTGTGCAGCCTGCTGCTCGGAGGCTCAGGGCCGCCCAGCCCTCCTCGATTCCCAGCTGGGCTCCCCTCAACCCAGTACCCCTTCCCCAGGCATCAGGGACCCAGTCCCTTGCCTGGAACATGTCCCATCTCGTGCCCTCCTGGAAAGTCCCTTCACCTTCCCAGATGGCACATGTGACACTCCTTCTTCGGGCTCCCTACCTGCCCCCCTTGTGCACCCAACTGTGAGCCCTCAGGGCGAGGACCCAGCTGCCCTGGGGCCTCTCTGCCCAGGGGTTTTGTAAAGTTGTCAGTCACCGTGGCCCCAGCTAGCACTGTGGTTCCTGGCTCGGCCAGAGCCCCGAGGGCGGGCAGCGGGTGAGGTGGATCTGGGGCAGGTCAGCCACAGGGCCCACGGGAGGCCCCTGCCCACCAGTTCCCACACTCATTCCTGGGCTGGTTACAGATTATTTGCCGCTTTGCTAATAATCCTCCAAGTGTTGAAGGCTGCCTGCGTGGTTTCCTTTTTCTTTTAGAAATGAGAGCATATTCAAGGCTGTCTCGCACCCACCTGCACTGGACCTATGTTCTCAGGTGGAGAAAGCCCTGCCATGGCAGTGGGCGGGGTCCTGGGCCGTTGCTGACCGCAAGGTGGCTGGCTCCTGCCGGCGTGCCCTGGGGGGTCTGTCAGGGTCTCTCTGGTCTCTCTGTGGTGCTGGCAGCAGCCCCCTTGTTAGCACTGTGAGGACTTTCGCTGCCCTCTGTGGTAACGGGGCTCCAGGGGGGCTGGGGCTGTGCTGATGCTGGACCACTGTGTGCCCACACGGTCGGATCCCTGCCATGTCCCCCGGCTGCTGGTCCTCGGAGAGGGTCTCAGCTCTTTTGATGGCCCTGGCTGGAGGGAGGGTATGAGGGGAGGGGCATGATGGTCTAAAGGAGTGGATTCCCCTCCCAGACCTGCGTGAACCCTGGGGGGCTCCAGGGGAGGGGAAGAGGGGGCCTGCACTCAGCAGTGTCGAACCTGGGGCTGGGGTGCCAGGACCCACAGGTGTGCCAAGTGTGGGCCCTCACGGAGGGGAGATGCTCACAGGTGCCCAGAGGCCAGGTGTAAGTGTGGTGGGCGTGCTCGCCCATGGACCACTGCCAGGGGTGGACAGAAGGGCACAGACATGGCTGGGGGCTGGGAGGGGGTGATGATGCCCTGGAGGCTTGCTGTGGGAGGCGTCCGTGGATAGCATGTGGGGAAGTCTCTGTGTGTGTGTGTGTGTGTGTGTGTGTGTGTGTGTGTGTGTGAGTCCAGCTGACCCCAAGACCCAGAGGCTGGGCCCTGTGCCTGGAGGAGAATGGCAGGTGGTTGGATGTAGCCTGATTTAAAGGTGGCCTGTGTGCTCAGCAAAGAGGCTGAAGGATAGGGAGCATTTTTGAGAGTCTCTCCCTCTGCTCCAGGGCCTCTGATCTCCCTTTAAGGAAATGGGGGGTGGGGCTGTCCCAGGCCCTCCAGGAAATGTCTGCTCTGGCCTTCCAGCCATCTGGTTTTTTGCCTGGGGGAGGGGAGGTGCCCACCGTGCCCTGCCAGCCCCTCTCCTCCAGCCCCGTGTCTCAGGCCCCACCCAGCCTGGGCCCTGTCTCTTCAGCACAGCAGAGGATCAGCCAGTCTGCAATATCGTGTACCCTGTGGAGAGTGCAGCTCTGCCCCTGGGGGCTGGCATGTCCTCTTGGCCCCCAGGTGTGGCAGGATCTGGCTTCGGCAGAGCTTTTTGAGCCCTTCAGAGAAAGGCTGCCCTGGCCCCTCTTCCTGGCAATGGTGTGCAGAACTTGGGTCAGGGCAGCAGTGGTGGGTCTGGAGCCTGCAGGCCACGTGGCTGGCTGTGCTCATGCCCAGGCTGGGCTCCTGCTATAGCATCCCATGGCCAAGTCCTGGGACGCCGCTCCTGCCCCCACCCACTTCAAGCACGTGCCAGAGAAAGGACATGTGTGTTACAGGTGTGTGCCCCAGCGAGTGCCAGGTGAGGCGTCTGGGTCTCTGTAATGGGGTGGCCAGAACTGGGCCCATTGGCCGTGCTGAGTCAGTCTCCCAGCTTCTGCCCACAGCTGTGTCCCATAAGGTGCCCCCACCCCACTCTGGAGCAGGTGGCTGGGAAGGTATCTCCCAGGACAGCCGGGCTGTCCTGAGCAGGAGTTACAGTCGAGCTGAGGACTGGGCCCCTGAGGCCAGGGTGCCCTGGTCACTAAGCTGCCTCATTAGAGTCAGGACACATCCATGCAATTACCTCAGTAAATAGCCAGTGAGCTACAAATGGCTCTCGGCCTTGATGTCCATGACGGGAGGCAGGTGGGAACAACATTCCCTGTGCTCCTTGAACTTCTGGATCACAGTGTCCAGGAGATGGAGAAGTCAGAGATGACATGTGCTTGGGTGATCGGAGGCCTTGCTTAAGGGTGGGGGCTGCGGCTGGGCCCAGGGCTCTCCATGGCCCTGCAGCCTTGGTGAGCTAATCCCACTCCAGGGTCCTGTTTTCCTAGAGCTGGCACTGTGGTAGACCAGATAGCCAGAATGCGGGTGCGCTTTGGTAAGTGAGGAGGACCTTCCTCACGTTTGTGCGGGGAGTGCTTTGTATCTGAGATTCGGCTTCTGATGTCCTCCACCTTTGGGGAACTGGTCTCTGGACATTTTGCTCCAGAAGGAAGGTCCTTATGGGCAAAAACACAAGAGGAAAAAGTGCTTGGTGCTTCATTTATCAGTTCAGAAGGCATACAAGGGCATGAGGTTGCTTCAGTCAACAAATCAAGAGTTGCAAGACGTTACCAAAGGGAAAAGAAACAGGGGGATTTCCCTGGCAGTCCAGTGGTTAAGACTTCACCTTCCAATGTGAAGGGGGTGCGTGTTTGATCCCTGGTTGGGGAGCTAAGATCCCACATGCCTCACGGCCAAAAGAACAAAACATAAAACAGAAGCAATATTGTAACAAATTCAATAAAGACTTTAAAAATTGTCCACATAAAAGAAAAATCTTAAAAAAAGGAAAAGAAACAGGAATTACCTCTTTTAATACCCAAGGACATGAGCAAAAAAGGGTAAAAACCAGAGAAAAAGGTAACAACTTACAAAAAATTTTTAATAAGTGTGGGGGGACACCAACACATGCTATAAATTTCAAAAGGCAATAGTCAAAAAATGAACAAAAGATTCTAGTGCCTGCTGGCCTGTTCCCCCCTCCACCCCTACAACCCAGAAGAGGCAGTGGGGGGGGTGGTTAAAGTTTTGAGAAGTCTCCTAAGTTCCCCCACGGTCCTGGGAGGAGGACACTGACTGGGAGTGTCACCACACTCGACGGGAAGGACACCTCCAGCTACAGGGGACAGCAGGCCTGATCTTCAACAGGACAACCAAAGCTGGCTGGCCTCCCCACGGAACGAGGAGCTGGGGTGGGAACTTGCTCAGTGCTGAGGATACGGGGGTGGCGGGCTGTGTCTCTGAGGATGTCTTGGCCATTCCCTCATGACTGCAGAGTTGCTGCCATGGTTAGAAGCATGAAGGGCTCCCACAGCACCTGTGGCAGGAAGGAAGGGCAGGAACAAATGCACTCTCATTGCAGCCTGGCCTTTTATGCAAGAAGGGAAGCCCCGGCTGCTCCCACACCTCCATGTCAAGAACGATGCTGCGTCCACAGCCTCCCCTGACTGTGCAGTCCCTGCACCCGGGAACACCCTCCTCTGGGAGATCTGGGGAGGTTGAGCTGCTCTACGAGCACCTCATTTTAGCCTCTTCTTTCTGCCTGGCACAGGCTGGTTGCCCCTGGGAGCTGCCACAGGAAAGGGGGTGAGCAACGTCAGTGGGTTTTCAGTGATGGGCGCAGGAGCTCCTGGGGTTCAGATCCTGATGGCAGCATGCCTTTGACAGAGGGACATGCCTGTCCCTTCAGTACAGTGACCTGGATCTTCAACAAAGTCTCAGGGATCATGACAGCCCCTTCACCCCTCCTTTGCCCTAAGGTTACAGTACATCAGGTCAAGGTCAGTGCTTGGCCAACAGTCCCCAGAGGGGGCATCCATAGGCTTAGGTGGGGCCAAGGGTGTCAGGCACTCCCCCTCACCATACAGGACAGGGAGGGGTGCCCGACAAACGGCCCTATCATCGCTGTGTGCATTTGCTTGCATGCATTTGTTGGCACTGCCAAGCCTTATGCATGTTTGAGGCAGTTTGCCAGCTTTTCTCCTGAGGACTTTCTTGACTTGGAGTTTGAAGCTCTTTCCTGCCATGAACTCTTTCCACATTGTTCCCACAGACTCCTGCCATCGTAAATTTCCAGCTGAAGGTGAAAGGAAGGGAGAAGAGGACATCGCCCTTGGAATTCTTGGAAGGCTCCCAATGACCGTTGGTTCTGGCACCCACACTGTGCTGGAGAAAGTGGCTTTTCTGTGGATGAGGTCTGGGGATGAACAGAACCAGGAAACATGGCTCCCTCAGATTCCAGAACAGGAAGAGCCCCCTCTGAAGACCTGATGATGTGCTGGCCTTCATATCCAAATGTGCCACCCCCTCCATCACTGACTCACTGCAGTTAGCCCACATCTGGTGAGTTGCTTTTCTGCTGGTAGTGCTGCACCTGCTCTGAGCCACCAGCTCCCTGCAGCCCCTGCAGTGTGTGGACCTGACCCACTCCTCTTGCATCAGGAAGGATCAGGACTTCTGTGTCTGCAGAGTCGCAGCCAACTCCGGGTCCACATTTACTACAGCCTTCCCCTGGAAAACTCACATAAATGCCCTGAGCCTTGAGTTCCCTCGTCTATAAAAAGACAGATAACAAAGAGGGAATCAAGATGGTGGAGTAGAAGAATGTGGAGCTCACCCCCTCCTACAGATACATCAAAACCACCTACATATGGAACAATTCTCACAGAACACTTTACTGAGCACTGGAAGAAGACCTCAGACACCTGAAAAGACAAGAAAGACCTCCACATAACTGGGGAGAACAAAAGAGGAGAAGAAAAGAGGAAGCGGGATGTGACCTGCACCCCTGGGAAGGAGCTGTAAAAGAGGAAAGGTTCCCACACCCTGGGAAGACCCCTCACCAGTGAGATCAGCTGGCAGGTAGTGGGAGGTGCTTCAGAGGTTTGGAGGAGAGCACAGCAACTGATC